CAGCCGCATTTATACAAAACGGTCATGGGACATTTCGACAAAACAGTACGTATATGCCATCCTGATTTGCTATTTCATGCACAACCCTACACTTTATGAAGCAATAAAAAATTTACAATTTTTAATTAAAAACCTATGCTTTCTATCAAAGTTACTTCTTGCCAGAATTTTTTGGAAACCCTTTATCAGTTGAGAAAAAAATTGTAATCCTATTTTGCCAGATCAAGTATTGATTGCTATTGATAAAAACTTGTTGAGGTAAACATGTGAACAAATAACTAATCCACACTATTTATTTGCAGGTACCTTTGAACTTCTTGAAGAAATTGACGAAAATTATAATATTCGTGAAAAACTTCATCACGTTAGGATTTGGTGCATTGACATTTGTCCAACGTCTTCATGAAGCGCTTTCAAGAATAGAGTTATGAAGGGATTTGTAGGTAATATAAAACAGTCTTTATATTGATACAAAATGATATAAGGTCTTTACATTGTTGTTACTATTCTTTATAGTATAGAATGTTGAAACTGCTATTAAAGCTATTATCTATGGTCTTATTGTGAAACATTTTCAAGAGAAAACATTTTTCTGCAAATTCAACAACACTACGTCTTTAATATTGAGTACAGAACAAATAAACACATATTTAGATTATTTATGGTTTCTAGAAACGTATGAATAAGCAAATCCAGTAAAGGGAATTGAATACTTATTGCAGAAGTTGATAAATTTTAACTTTCCTGCTAGGTGCACCTTACTGCTGAAAAAGATTTGAAAGGTTAGTTAAATAAAACGAAATGATTACAATGGAGGACATATATTACCATAACTAGTACATGATAGGATATACCTTACATACACAGAGATAAATAACGACTTTAGCAATAATACTAGAAATAAAAGCTCTATCATGTAATTCACAAGGCAGATTCATATATATGTATTTTATGATTGTTTAGTATAGAGAACATATTGGTCATCCACTCCCCTCACATTATATGGTTTTATAAAATTAAGAGAGACAAATGTTATCAGATAGAAATTCATATTAGCTCAGATACTCAACAAAAACATATACGTTTCCAAACAAGCACATAATTTAATAAAATAGTGGCCATACGAATATTTGTAAGTAATTACAGTTAGTTAATATTTATGCGAAAATATATCTAAAAGTAAAATTATGGGATTGGCTTGGTCATCATTGCCAAATCTAATGTTCCTAGCTATAAATATATTCACACAGCTTTCTGCTATCAGAATAATACTACATCCTAAGTTTCGTTAATACATTTAAATGATCTTTGACACCCACTTCTAATTATGTTCAAAAAACCTAACTCAACAACAAACAAATTTATGCAACTTTTAGTTTCATGATATGTCAAATTGTTTTATCTTTACACATAAATATGTACAATTTTCCTTCTAACAGCTTTCTAAACATTTTAATCTAGAACAATAACGTAAACAGTTCGTAATAGAAAAGATTAAGTACTGTTGTTGATGAGGAATACTACTTTTAGGTACGTTGGCGAAACTTGTCCATTTACGAATGATATATCTAAAATATTGGGAATATATACTTTATATCTTTAAATTATTAATAAGCCAGTAAAAACGTAGATAGGTGTATTTGTCATGTCAACCAACCGGAAGATTTATTTCTTAACGGATTCATTAGATTCTAATCGTTTCTTAAAATTAGCTCAGCTTCCTCCAGTGGAACATATGTTTCGTTTATTATTTTTGTAATAGACTCACAATGAGAAGATCATATCCTTGCAAGTTGGTATAATTTATTAGTTTTGCTTCTGCAAACAACGGAATACAAACTTCATTTTAGTCAGTAGCTTCATTGTTTCGCAAAACGCTGTTCGATATTCGATAAAAGAACATGGCGAGTTTGTTTGACAGGACTGTTTGTACGGTATTAAAAGATAAACTCAAAATTATAAACGTGTTAGATGATGGGTACAAACATGCTGAAAGCGATGCTTCAGATGACAAGGTTAGAAACGTGCAAAGCTCGATAGATACCAAAATTTTAAGTGGAAGCATGGAGAGAGTAATTATGAGAAAAAATGGATATGATTTAGATGTATTTGTAATAAGGATTTAACATGCATTAAGGCTCCTTTCCATGACTGGAAGTTCAACAAATATTTAGCTATAGATCAACTTGTCATTGATTTCCTTTGAGTCGACCACAGTCAGCGCAAACTCCAAATATCCTGACAGCTGGCAAAATGGTTTAAGGGCAAAATACTAGCTGAATTCCATTTTGTCAAAAGACGCCTTTACACAGAGCGGTTCGGCAAACTAACAGAAGCCGGTCCACTATGGCTAGCTTTCCCGTGTCGCAGTAACCGCTAGTAGTTATAAAACCTAATTATATGGCACACTGCTCGGACAACCACAGACTGATTATCATAGGTAGCTTGTGGTTCTTAATTAGTGGTTTTGGAAGCCTCATTTACGTGGGTGAATATAACGATTGATCTGTCAGGTTTTGCAAGTCACGTAGGTCACACTAGATACTGTTCTAATGCCCCTGGCTCGGCAAAAAGCGAGTTATAGCTAACCAGTTCATTGGCGCGCCGAACAACGCGCCCTATAATAGAGCCTTTAGAATAAGTTAGCAATACAATTCTGTATGTATCAATACGTTCAAATGATATTTCATTAATAACTTAATTTTTTTATTACTATTAATGTTGTCCTATACATTTTGTGGATATTACTTTATTATTTCAGGAACTCCAAAGGAAAACGCTGTTTTAAACTAAATTTGAACTTTTACGAACAAAACATTTCTGAATTTACTGAACAAAATGAATATTTAAAAAACTGAAAGTGAAATATTTTGTTCTTATATAACTTTCAGATCGTCCAATTCAAACTGCAGTTGAGTGAATATCAGGTTCTAAAGTAAAAAGTGATTTTAGTCCTTGTTTCCAGTAAGTAACTTTATGATTTTGTAATCAAATTTTATGGATAAATTGTATTGCAATACAATTGCTTCTCTAGTGAAAGGTGTGTTCTGATTTGACGCTCCACATTTAGAACGTTTTCCACTGTTTTTGAGAACTTGTTACATTTTAAGAAAGGAGTAGCATCTAAGATGGGTATGTTCACGTCAAATATAGTGACTTTGCGATGAACCTTTGCGACTGAACCTTATACACAATATATACTAAAACGGGCATAGTGCAGTTATCTACAAGTAAAATTTAAGCATAAACTACCAGTATTAAAATTACAAGGGGTTAAAAGGGTTTTTACTGTCAAAAAAAGTTACTTGATGTTGAAAAGAATCTTTTTTTATGTACTTGGATAAACCATTTCCAATGAAAACTTTTCGTGTATTTTCAGTTTCCTCATTGCATAAGTAAAAGTCCAAAAACTATGATAATGTTAGAAACTACCTAGCAATAATTTGGTTCTAACTCCTCAACAATTAGAGCAGAAGGTGGATCTATATAGATATAGGGATTCGAGAGTCCCACGAGAAAAACGGAAAAGTGTTTTTTTAAATTTATTTTTTTAAAAACCCCGCCTTTTAATTTCACCAAATTTGGATATGTTTTTCAAGGTCAAATAAGCTATCTTTTAGTCAAGCGTCATTGGGTCAAAATGACATATGCATTTAGGAAACCTTATTTCTCGAACGGACCAAGTTGGCCATATTGCCATTTGGCTAAAAGATAGTTTATTTGGCCTTGAAAAAGATATCCAAATTTGGTGAAAATAAAACTTGGGGTTTTTGAGAAAATAAATTTTGAAAGAAATAACTCCGTTTTTCGCATTTATTTCAGAAAGCAATTTGAATTCAGAAAAAATCAGAAAAAGCTGGTAAAATTCTGCACATTTTGAAAAACGTTTTGATAAGATAATTTGGGTCAAAATGACGGCCACTTGAAAAAAATATGCGTTTTCATTTTTGGAATAACGCTGTCACGATATAAATTTTGAATCGACCTAATTGGACAACCGCTGAAACCATGGTTTTTTCAAATTTTTTGCCTATTTGTCCTTGAACATAATTGTAAAGGAAATTAGGACCAAAATTTACAGGCTATTGATTATATATAAAAAAAAACAGGGTTAAAGGACCTATGACGTTCAAGCAATTTTATTGCATGAATCGTTGAAAGGGTCATTTTAAATGAAAAAAACTCGGAGTGCTATTAAATTAGAGGGTGGAAATTGGAGATAGGGGTGAAAATGCACCCCTTTCAGTCTTTTAATTGTAGCTCGAAAACGAAGCAAAATTTCGCTATAGTTAGTTTATAGGAAAAATTATTTAGAGAATTGAATTTCCCATCGAAATGGTTTGCTTAAAAAATTTTAATGGAAAATTTCTTGCAAAAAATCGTTAATAAACAATTTGAAAAAAAGCAAAAAATTCCATTTTTTTTATTTTTTTTTACTTTTTTGCCTCTAGTTTTTTTTTTTTTGAGTAAAGATAGGTATAGGCATTGCCAAACAAAAAAAAGTAGATAAAATTTCCTTCAAAAAAAGAGGTTGCACAGTATTTTTGGATGAGAATTGACAAAGTTTGAACGATCAACTTTGCCAATTTTTCGATTTTCGTCGCGTTTATCCTTACACGTTTTAAGTCTCATTTTTTGCAAAAAAGGAAGGATTCGTTCAAGGATTTTCATCATATAACACAGAACGAGGAAAAATTTCGGTATAGTTCATAGGAAAAATTTTGTAGAGAATTGAATTTCAAATTTATGTTAAAAACGACGAAAATTTAAAAAACATTTAAGTTTGACCCGTTATACTCAGTCAATATTAGTCCAACAACTTTTGAAAAGCATCATTTTGAAGAGAATCTCATGTAGTTTTTTTGTACAGAAATTTTCTTTGCCTACTTCTACTAAAAAATAAATTAGAGCCAAAAAAGTAAAAAAAATCTAAAAATCTAATTTTTTACTTTTATTAAAATTGTTTGCTAACAATTTTTTTCATAAAATTTGTCATTTCAATTTTTTAAATAAGCCATTTCGATGGTAAATTTCCATGTAAGTTTAAGAAAAAAAATGGAACTGGTTTTCTGTACTAAGCATTTGAATATCGCGAAAAACCGCATTTTTTCATTGCAAACATTGTGAAAAATTGCAAACCTCAAATAGTCATAACTTGTCGATTTGTCTTATTATTTTTAGCTCACAAAAAAGTTTTGTAGGTCTTTTTGAGACGAACTGATTGGCCACTGTTAAAATATAGAAAATTAAAATTTGTCAAGTATTGAGTGTCGAGTGTCAGACTTACCTTATGCATTTGATACCTTGAAAATTAACAAAAAAAACTACACAGTCATGCAAAAAACCAAATTACAAGTCTTTTACTTTAATTTGATAACGTACAATGTAACATTGTCCTGGTTCCCTTTTCACTAAATCCTGAAGAGAAACAAGCCAAAAATATTAAAAAATGGTTGTAACGTGGATTCTATAGCACCTAGAAACTTCCTTAAAAAAACCAAATTGAAGGTTTTTTTTTCACTACTGTAATAGTCTGTGATAATTTTTTTTCCTAATTTCCTTTACAATTGTGTTTAAGGAGAAACAGCCAAAAAAAATTGAAAAAACCATGGTGTCAGCGGGATTTTCAAAGGATTTTTCATATAGGAAGCATTTCGTCGTTATTTTTTCATAAAAGTACATCTTCAGACCTTCAAAAATCGCTCTGGTTAATTTCCGTAGCCCTATTCTATGAGGCGCTACAGATTTTTGGCCAACTTAGGTCGATTCAGACTATAGTGTGGCGCCACAGAGCTCTAAAAATTTTTTCGGAAAAACAAAAAACTTAAAATTCAAAGTAGATTAACATCCCAAAGTTTAAAAAAATCGAAGAGTTCGATTTTATTGCTCATTAAATTCATATGGAAACAACCATATCTTTACCGCCCTTTTCTTACATCTTTCTGTAAGACTGAAATAGATGCAGCAAACTATCGCGAAGACAAGGAAACTGCACTGTACCAATTTTGAAGTGTATATTTTCAACAGCTTTTGAGTAATTAAGAAAAGTTCTTAGTAATCATGTTAGGGTAGTAAAATCAGCCCTGAAAGTTCCTCGCAATGTTTGTACTTGGCTCAGGGATCGCCCCTTCCAAAACAACTAATGCAAAGTGGGCAATGACACGTCCACATCAAACATTTGGTATGCGATTTCGGATTCAAAACAAAACAAAGTGGGTAACGGCCTTAAAAGAACACCTACGAACTAAGGTAGGTGATGTTATATATAGTATAATGATATATTTAATTTAGCCTATAATGTCGCCCAACAAAACGAGTTTACTAATAGGGTTCTTGTTGTAACTTGGGCGGGAGCAGCGTGTGCCCCTGGGGCTTCCAGCCGTCCCCGTTCTCGGTGTGGGGGGCGACGGCGGCCAGCGGCGGCGGCGAGGCGCCCGGCTGGGGGGCGGGCGCACTAACAATGCTGAGCGCATGCATTATGCAGGTCTTGGGAGCGGCGTCGACCTCCATTAAGTCTTCCAGTTCTTTGTCGTTGCGGGAGTTGGCCGAATCGGGTGAGCCCGTGAGGCCGTCACGGCCGTTCTCCATGAAATCGTGCTCGTGATTTCCTACCCCGTTTTCTTTCTCCCTTTCGCAGGTGACGGCGCCCTTGTTATCCTGAAACAATGAGAGGTTCCTGTATAGATCCCAGTCAAGTTAGGCCGCTAACAACGGTTAATAAGATTGAGCAGAAATGGGGACATGAAAGCATAACAGTATGAATTGTACGGGGTGTCTAAAATTGTAGCGCTAAGGTCCGTTTTCACGGATATTAAACTAACAACAAACTGATAGAGACTTTCTTAATGTTGTCAGCCCATATAGGCCAGGAAAAAGAGCAGGGAAATGACTATTTCGTGATTTTTTGTTTCGGCAAGCTGAATTTATCACTATAGATGATAATGTACAATAACATATTAGTTTCCACAGCCATAAAAATGGGGGGAAAATTGTTTACAGGCTGGTTAATTGTATAATTTTTACATAAATTCACGTTTTTCGCTTATAACATTTTCCCGTTCATTTCCACGAGAAAACAGTAAAGTATTTTTTTTCGTCTTCAAAGGAACTACAAAACTAGCCCTCGAGCGTCAAAAAATATTAATTAGATCAAAAGTTATAAACAGAAGAAGTATATTTATGACTTTTGAATTAAAAATTTATAAACTGTTTTATTATTACCAGAAGGTTTTGGCATCGCATCCTCTCATTCCTTGTCACTGTCTAATAACTCACACGAAATCTGAAATCAGTATATTGAATAGTTTACAAGTTATGGCCTTATAAACAAATTAACTAATTATTAGTCTGGACGATCCCGACCATCTTCCGACTGATTTTTTTCATGGTAGATTTCATAATAATTATTGAAATCTATCATTTTTTTTTAAATTTCAATTTTGCAACTTAGAGTTTTTTATTTTTTAGCCTTAGTTGCAAAATGAAATATACGACGCACGCGCGTGATATTATACACTGTGTCCACCTAGTGCGCGTAAGTCCAATATCTAGGTTAATAAAAAATATTACTTATTTTTTTTCTACAGAGTTGCCTACTTTCCCGAGCTGCACAAAATGAAAATATATTTGCATATGCACGGTTTCAGTTTTTCCTGGGCAGGTACCAAATTTTTTTAAATGGAAATCTATATTTTTTATGGCATCTACGTGAAAAATTAAAGGGGCTTTGTGTTATGACCCCTATTAAAATATTGATAGTTTTCGAGATAATCGACTTTTAATTTTTTTTTTCTTGTTCCGTCACTTCTAGTAGTTGACATAATTATGATTGTATGACAGCTAGAAATTATTTTTTTTCAGGAACTGTAAAGTGAAGATGGCTCTTTAAAAAAACGTATCAAAAGTTGACCTGCGATATACAGGGGGCAAAAAAATCGTGCCTAACCTGATAATTTAAAATTTGAAAAATCTCGACTTTTTCAAATAGAACACCCTGTGTTTTATGATTTCATTAGATGCCTTTCTGCAGACCCTACAATTGTTTAATAGCTTTCCCTATACCTAAGTTGCGTAGTTTTTGCAAAAAATCAATTTTTATGTAAAATACCGGATTATCTCGAAAACTATCAATATTTTATTAGGGATCATAACACAATTTCCCGTTAATTTTGCACGTAGAATTCGATAATGCTATAAAAAGTATAGGTATCCATTTAAAAAAATTAAGTTGGTACCTGCCCAGGAAAAACTGAACACCCTGTATATGCAAATATATTTTATATATTTTCATTTTGTGCAGCTCGGGAAAGCAGGCAACTCTGTAGAAAAAAAATTAAGTTATATCTTTTATTAACCTAGATATTGGACTTACGCGCACTAGGTGGACACGGTGTATATTATTACATGTTCAGAAAGCTGATGAAAAGAGTTTTAAGTTAAAAAAAATCGTCAAGATTAATTGAAAAACAACGGAGTTACAGACTGTCAAAGCTGACGGCCTATTGTTAAACAAATTAGGTTGGCAGCGGCAAAAAAAAAACTGTCATAACGGCAACCCGAGTACTTTCCCAGATAAAAATATTTTATTTGTGGAAGTATGTTAAGTGCTGCCGTTAAAAAAGCGAAATTCGCTTGAAAATAATATATTTGACAGTCTGTAACTCCGTTGTTTTTCAACGAATCTTTACGATTTTTTTTTTAACTTAAAGCTCCTTTCATACGATTTCTGAATATGTAATAATATATAACTATATCACGCGCGTGTGTCGTATATTTTATTTTGCAATTAAGGCTAAAAAATAAAAAAAACTTTTCAGGTTGCAAATTTGAAATTAAAAAAAATATTATAGATTTCAATGTATTATTATGAAATCTGCCATGAAAAAAATCAGTGCGATTGTGGAAGATGCTCGGGATCGTCCAGACTAATAATTAGTTAATTTGTTTATAAGGCCAAAACTTGTAAACTATTCAACTTACCGATTCCAGATTTCGTGTGAGTTATTATTAGTGATAAGGAATTAGAGGATGCGATACCAAAGCGTTCTGGTAACAATAACGCAGTTTATAAATCTTTAATTCAAAAGTCATAAATAAACTTCTTCTGTTTATAACTTTTGATCTAATTGTAGGTCTTTTGAAGTGGAAAAAAAAGTACTTTACTGTTTTCTCGTGGAAATGAACGGAAAAAAGTTATAAGCGAAAAACGTGAATTTACGTAAAAATTATACAATTAACCAGCCTGTAAACAATCTTCCCCCATTTTTATGACTGTGGAAACTAATATGTTATTATACATAATATCTAGCATCTATAGTGATAAATTCAGCTTGCCGAAACAAAAAGTCGCGTCCAACTCTATATTTCCTGGCGTACGTATACACTGAGCCGTTCTTAGTAATGAACATATTTATAGTGACAACAACGCAAAAATTTAAAGACCTTTCAGTTATTTTTTCGGCTTTAAATTGGCTGAAGCTCTTGAAACTACCAATGGGGTGATTGCATAAAAAAATTGTAATGTTTTGTAACTGAATACTATTCTGCAATGAAAATTAATGCAAACTCTACAAACCATTCCACTAGTAACTCTTTATGCAAGCTTTTATTTGATTTTAATAATTTTTATTCAAATAGTGCGTCATCAAACTTGTGACGTAATAAACTATGAACATTATTCCAGAAAATTTCTATTGAAATAACCCCACTTTATCTCCCTTTTAACTTAAATAAGAAGGGTAGTGGTACGAGATTTTAGTTGAACTTCTCATTAACAAATGGTGCAATTAAAGCATAATCTATCACACCACGTTTGTACGTTTTTTTTAAACATACAATTACGTTGCAAAACCACCAGGTGTAATTAAAAGCCCAGCTCAATTGGATGTGCACACTACAAAGCATCCCAAAGTGCTTAAATTAGAGTAAGACAGTACTAAACATCTCTTAAATATAAGACAACGACATGGTACATAAAAAAGAGTAAGGCTTTATTAATTAAATCGGCTACTGAAACAGATTTACTCGCGCAAATTCTTTGAAGGGTTAGAAACATACTCTTAAATATTACATTAAGTAGCTACTAACCGCACCTAGATCCAGGAATACGATATGGTATCTAAAATAGTGTAAGGCTTTACGACTGCCGAAACAGATTTACTCGCAAAGCATTTGGAGGATTGCAAACATCCCTTAAATATAAAATTAAATATGAAGTCATTAAGCGGACCTAGACATAGCCATGCGACATGGTGCAAAAGTAGAGTAAGGCTGTAGTAAAACGACTGCCAAAACAGATTTACTCGCAAATTATATGTAGGGTTCAAACATCTCGAAATGTTGGCAGAAAATTTTGAAAAAAATCAATTTTACTAATCAAACCCTGTCCAATTCAGTTCTGATATATGTTTTTCGTTGAAGCTTAAGTTAACAATATTGCTGATATAAACATTTTTGATATTTTTTTTTCAGCAGGATTTCCGCAAGAAGCTGTACAGACAGAAGGAGCAGCATTCAAAGATGTATGTTCCCAGTACCTAGACGTTGAAAATAGATTGTCTGGGGCTGGGAGTATATTTTTGATGTTGCTTCGATCAACGTGACTACAAGGAAACGCAGCGCAAAAATTCGTATGAAGAAAACAAATTATTTTTTTCCCTGGCGAAATGTATTTTTGTCTCTCTTTTGTTATAGACCAGCAGGCACTTTTTTGTTCAGTGAAATAAAAGTACTAGTTTAAATTAAATTTTAAGGAAAAGAGCGAGGATTTTTTATTGTAACACTTTTTGCTCCCTTTATTGTTATAAAAAATTTCCCCATCGTCCTTCCACCGAATTTTTTGCTCCCGTTTTTGCTATAAAAAATTTCCCCTCCGCCCCCCTTCCGAATTTTTTGTTCCATTTTTTGTCAATTTTTAACAAAAAACAAAAATACAAATTTTAATTAAATTTTAAGGAAAAGAGCGAGGTTTTTTTTGTTAAATTTTTTGTTCCCTTTCTTGTTATAAAAAATTTCCCCTCCGCCCTCCCTCCGAATTTTTTGCTCCCTTTTTTGCTATAAAAAATTTCCCCTCCGCCCCCCTACAGAATTTTTTGTTCCATTTTTTGTCAATTTTTAACAAAAAACAAAAATACAAATTTCAATTAAATTTTAAGGAAAAGAGCGAGGTTTTTTTGTTAAATTTTTTGCTCCCTTTTTTGTTATAAAAAATTTCCCCTCCGCCCTCCCTCCGAATTTTTTGCTCCCTTTTTTGCTATAAAAAATTTCCCCTCCGCCCCCCTACCGAATTTTTTGTTCCATTTTTTTGTCAATTTTTAACAAAAAACAAAAATACAAATTTCAATTAAATTTTAAGGAAAATAGCGAGGATTTTTTGTTAAATTTTTTGCTCCCTTTTTTGTTATAAAAAATTTCCCCTCCGCCCTCCCACCGAATTTTTTGCTCACTTTTTTGCTATAAAAAATTTACCCTCCGCCCCCCTTACGAATTTTTTGTTCCATTTTTTGTCAATTTTTAACAAAAGATAGTCAAAAAATTTCCTCTCGCTCCAGATTAGAAATTGCCAATCAAATTTAAACTTCAAATAAAATAGACTAGACTTTTTTGTTGAATTTTTTGTGGTTGTACCCCTGCCAATTCTCTCTCGTTCTGGACTTATC